AAAGCAGTGGAGGATAGAAAGTGCATAATCACTAACTTTGGGGCATCTGCAGAGAAATATGCAGGCAGAACTACAGTATTTTAATCAAATGTTTCCATGCCCTTATGGTGGATTAAAAAAAAAAAAAGAGTTGTGACTACTACAAGATGGAAAAAGAAAATGCCAATGGATTAAATTATTTTTACCAATATGTTACCCCGAGGTTGATACTTTAATGAAGCTGAATTACATCAGGTAATATTTGGGGTTCTGTACTGTTTTGTGGAGAAAAGAAAACAATGTATAAAGTTTACAACACCAGAACTCATTGATTTTTGGGGTTCTGACCAAATATGAGTAGCTAGTTGTGAAGAGATAATGGTGTAGACCATTGTTTCTGAACCATGGCAACTTTAAAATAGGTCAACTTCAACTCCCAGAATTCCCCAGCCAGCCATGTTGGTTGGTGAATTCTGGGAGTTGAAGTCCACACATCTTAGAGTTGCTAAGGTTGAGAAACAATGGTGTAGATGAAGTGGCAGAGAGTCCGTAGTATGTCCAATTAATTTGGAACATGAAATGTCAAGGGTAAGGGCTGCTGTATGAAGAGCAAGGAGGAAGAGAGAAGTAAGAAGAGAAAGAAATGTGAGGCTGATTGATGGAGGAAGAAAGAGAAGAACCTGCACATCAATTCGCTAAAAGAATGGAGAGAAAGAGAGTAAAAATCAGATAACTCCTAGAAATTAAATTGAAGAGGGATCTGCCATGACCAGTTGGATGTGAGTGAAGTGGCGGAGTTAGAGATGGAACAAGTTTTGATGGTTTGCAGGTTGTCCGAGCATTTTCTCTGTGGCAATTGGAATTACTGCTGCCATTGTGGGCCTCTGGTGTTATTTCCACTGCATTGGTGGGCAGGGCGACAATAACAATGATGAGGTTGAAAAGCAAGAGCAACACATCATCTCATATTTAGATTACTCTAACATGCTCTACAAGAGGCTGCTTCTGAAGATTATTCAGAATCCACAGTAGGTGCAAATTGCACTGGCTTACCTGCTGAAGGGTGAAAGCTGTTCAACAAGATAACACCTATATTGCAGAGATTACATTGATTATTAACAGATCCCTGGGTAGAATTCAAAGCACTAATTATTGCCTATACAGCTCTTCCTGGCTTATGTCCTAGGTATTTGAGCACCATCTGCTCCAAGTAGATTTGCCTATCCTGTATATTCAAGCCAGGAGGCTTGCTACAAATTACTAGATTCTGAGAAATAAGGGGAGTTCGAGGTCCAGAGGCCCTGAATAGGGCAGATACAGTGGAAGTGACTGAGGTACATCCTAGGTTGGTTATCTGGGAAGAGTTTGAGCCAGTCAATCCTGCTGTGAGCTCTGCCACATGTAGTCTGGACCCATGCCCCTCCTGGTTGGTTAAGGTCTCCTGGGAGGTGGCGCATGGTTGGGTCCAAGCAGTGGTAAATGCCTCCTTGCAGGAGGAAGTGGTTCTGCCAGCCTTGAAAGAAGCAGTGGTTCATCTCCTCCTCAAAAGGCCATCTTTGGACCCTACGGCTTTGAATAACTTTTGTCCAGTCTCCAACTTTCCCTTTTTAGGGAAGGTTGTTGAGAGGGTGGTGAGCTCCCATCTACAGAGGGCCTTTGATGAAGTGGATTATTTGGACCCTTTTCAGTCAGGATTCAGGCCAGGCTACAGTACTGAGACAGCACTGGTTGCACTTGTAGATGTAATTTGGAGGGCTCGGGATAGGGGTGCTGTGCCCATGCTGGCTCTTCTGGATCTCTCAGTGGCTTCTGATACCACCAACCATGGTGTCTTGCTAGACCAGCTCCAGGGATTGGGAGCGGGGGGTACTGTTTTGCAGTGGTTCTCCTTTCTCCATGGCCAGTATCAGTCAACACTAGTGGGGGAGGAGAGGTCCACCCCTAGGCCCCTATCATGTGAGGTGCCTCAGGGCTTGGGTCTCTCTCTCCTATTTAACATCTATATGAAGCTGCTGGGAGAAGTCATCTGCTGGCATGGGGTTTGGTATCATCAGTATGCTGACAATACCCAATTATACATCTCTACCCCATGCTGGGCAAGTGATGCTGTGATCACCTGGATGGCTCAGTTCCTGGAGCTGTAAGGGCCTGGATGTGGAGAAATCAGCTGCAATTCAACCCTAGCAAGACGGAGTGGTTGTGGGTTTTTGGCCCCCCAGGGTCAGGAGAGTCAACATCTTTGACAATAGACAGGCTAGCACTCCCCCGCACAGATCTGATGCACAATTTGGGGGTCCTCTTGGACTCACAGCTCCTGCTGGAAGAGAAGATGGCAGCTGTGGCTAGGAGGGCTTTTGCACAAATCCATCTTGTGTGCCAAGTGTGCCCATTCCTGGATTGGAAGGCCCTGCTCACAGTCACCCATGCCTTAGTCACCTCCTGTTTGGATTACTGCAATGTGCTCTACATGGGACTGCCCTTGAAGACCATATGGTAGTTGCAACTGGTCCAGAATACAGCGGCATGTGCAGTTCACCCAAGTAACACCACTGCTGGCTTCCGGTTGTTTTTTGGATGCAATTCAAGGTGCTGGTTACCACCTTTAAAGCCCTATACAGGGCCAGGTTACCTGAGGGACTGCCTGTCCCTGAGGGTAACTGCCCATCCTACTAGGTTAGATAGGGTGGGTGCGCTCCAGGTCCCCTCCCTTAAATGTTGTCATCTGATGGGACCTTGGAGATGTGCCTTCTCAGTGGCCGCCCTAGCCTTTTGGAACAGCCTCCTGCCTGAGATCTAAGGGACCCTTTTTAGTCTTCCAGAGGGCTGTGAAGACCTGGCTCTTGAGCTGTGAGGATGATTGGTCTGGTGCCAGGGGGAGGAGGATACTTTTGTTTTTAACTATGCTTTTTATGGATTGTTGTGAGCCTCCCAGAGTCATCATATGAGACAGGAGGCCATATAAGTCCTGTAATTAGTCAATCAATCAA